CAAACACACTAGTCTGACCTAGTTGGTGAAACAAGCCATTGGGAGAGCTTGCTTCAGAGGAGGTGGACAACATTTTTGAGGATGACACCCAAGGTAGCCCACTGGCCTCCACACAAGCATGCACTGTGTGTGTGTGTGTGTGTGTGTGTGTGTGTGTGTGTGTGTGTGTGTGTGTGTGTGCGCGCACGCGCGCGCGCGCGTGCACGTTTGTGAGAGACAAAAAAAAGTGTGTATCTCTGTCTCTCTCTTACTCATATACACATACATGCAATTACATGCATGTACACCCATACACATATATGTATTTTTTTAAAAATCCAGCAGCACCTAGCATGCTCAACCTTCCTAACAGCTACTGTCAGGCATTACTCTTCACTGTCTTGATCTCTAGGGGAAGCTACCATAATATTAAATGATATTGAAATCAATTTTTGGTCTGAGTTCTACATAATACCTGAATGTGGGATTCTTTTCTTTCCCTGTGTGTCCATTTCTGTGTGGAACCATGTCTCCATTTTAGTAAGTCTTAGTTTAGGAGAAAACCTATCCATTTTCTTTGCGTGTTCCATAAAATTCCCCAGAGATAATCCTTTTTCTGCAAATGATTTCTTCATCTTTGCCATCCATTCTGACACCCCCTTGCACAAATTCCTGTCTTTAGAAGTAGCAGTTGGAAGGCATTCAATTTCTGCATATCACTATTTCATGTACATTCAAATCAGTGAGTCTTCTCTTTCCATTTGGTGTCTAATATCTGACTTTAAAAATCTTCTATTGACTGTATAAGTGAAAGTACACAAAGTTAAAGTGCTCCACCATTTATATTCTTAGGAAGAATTTTGGTAGCTTTTGTTTTTATTTAAATGTCAGCTATTGTTTGCACATACTCAAGAGGTGCAATACAATGTGTGTATTCACGTAAGAGTTGGGTAGTGATCAGGCCAGAGCAGCGCATGTACTCCACCCGACACATGGTCATTCCTTTCTAATGAGTGCATTTCTCTCCTCTCCTTGGGGACACATAATGAATTATCACTGCATTGTAGAATGAATACCAGAACTTATTCAGTAACACTCATTGTGCCTGTTTGTCCTCTCTCCTGCCTCACCATCCTATTAGTTCAACTGTCTCATGGCACCCCAGTTCCGGAAATCCATGGCCAGAATCCCACAGATATCAAGTTCTTATTATATGACAAGTTCTAGACTCTTTTGACAGTGGCCTTGAAAACAGAAGCATATTCTCAAAGACATTTCAGTTACGATTGGTGTGCACAGGTGCTCCATCAGTGTCTGCATTTTAAGTTGCCCATTGACTTTATCATTTTCTCTGGATCCTGAGTCACATCCCAGCTTCCCGTCTGTAACCTGCTTTCCAAAGTGTGTTGCTCAAGTCTTCACCATTGTCTTCTGTGGACTTAGCAGGTTTATTTACAACTGTTGTGTGCTTCTGCCACATCTACATTGTCACTGTGATGGTATTTTTCTTTCTGTCTGTTTCTTCCACAGGAGTTTAACCAGTAACCTACCCAATGTGAACCTACCCAATGTGAACCTACCCAAAGTTCCAAATCTACCAGTTAACATCCCTCTAGGCATCCCACAAATGCCTACTTTTTCGGCACCGTCATGGATGGCTGCTATATATGATGCTGAGTGTGTATTCAGTTCACATTAGATCTCATTTAAATTTAAGTGATCTTGGCATGGATATGTATTGCTTATTTCTATACATCCTATATAACAGAGATGGAGATGGATAATTAGACATATTTTGCTGATCATGCAGAGACAATATTGTTTATTTCTGGCATTCATCGTGTTTGTAAGACATTTGCTATATATACACACTAAAGATTTGTCTAACGCCCACTGAACACTTGAGGACTCTGTTTTACTTCCTGAATTATTTTGCAAAAGGATTTCTATCCCCTGTTTTCAATGTAGGGACCATGACTTTAGGAATTATTCATCCACAAATAATCTATGAAAATTCTTGGATGGGCTGACCAGACATCTGTGATCTGATCCAAGTCTGTGAAAGAAGCCTGCCTACCTAGGCACTGGGTTTTGTGTTTTGTTTCATAATAAAACATTTTCACAGGGCTGATTAAGCCATAAAGCATATTTCTGATGCCAGTAAATAGCATGATATCATAATTGTATCTACAGAGCTAAATGAAAATTTATGAATGACCTGGCAGAGTAGGTAAATTGCATGTGTAGACACTTCCCAAAGTCAAATACAGTAGAAAGTGTTGAGGTCTAGGTGAAAGGAGGATTCTAAATTTGAGAATGCAAGATCAGGACACACATACAATTAAGTTTTGGCAGTGGTGTTTCTGCATTCTCGGTATAGAGTCATTCTTTGCTTCCTTCATATGAATTCAGGAATGTGGGAAGTATTTCTGCCTGAAATACTTCAAAGTGAGCAGTTTGAAGGACATAGGGATTGAGTGAACATTTTTCTCCACCTAGGAAATCAATCCTTTCCCCAATTTCCTTAGCAAGAAGAAGATCCAGCACTCCTCAGTTCTACTTTGGGGAAATGAAATGAGAACCATGTGGGTGATTTAATAAGTGAAAGAAGGTTTACCAGTTCTCCACCTCCCTTTGATCCTTTGCTTTGACCACAGCTAATTATAGGCCAGATAAGCTTTTCCTTGGAAGAATAAATTGGCACATTTTCAAAGGGAAGTGTTATTATCAAAGGAATAAAAAAATGATCTGAAACTGGCAGTGATGCTTTTAAATCTTGGACTCCCATTCATCAAGGTGGCCCTCAGCATGTTCAGATTCACAGTTAACCCAGGGAGAGAACAGGACATTAAAATGGCTTCTCAACCTGTTGTTCCCAAAGCTACCAACTATTTTAAAAAGTATAGTCACTCACAAGCGCACAGTGAAATCATGAGGCCACTGTGTCTGATTCTCTACTAGAGACAAATTCAAACCTCCAAATTTTTCATACCTGAGGAAAATTTTTCCTAACAAAAATACATCATATTCATGCTAAGATGACAATATTACAAGTTCAATTAGATAGTGTTTGTTTGATAGATTAGATAGTATATGTTTAAAATTAAAACTAAATAGCAGAAAGCTTCTCTTAGCTTGTCCCGTGCATGTTCTGTGATACTGTTTTTGAAAAGATATGAATCAAGACATTGTGATAAAGCAGATAATAGTCTCCATTCAATTAATTAAGGCATGGGTGGGAACACATTTTGGTAACTGCTCAGCAATCAAAATAATCTTGGTGCTATTGCCTTAACATTAACAGTTTATCTTAAAAATAAAAAGAAAATATTCTTTTCCTCATGTCAAAACTTAATAATAAGCTCTTCAAAGAAAAAAAACGCTACAAGAATTTTTTGAAACTCTGAAACCAGATGGGTGTCAAAATGTTGTTGTAATAAATACCAATTATTGCATTCATATGTACTTAATGATTTAAAACATAAACCATGCAGTTCCAAAACGGGGCTTAGACTAGACAAAGTTGGGGTTTCTTTCTTCCCAAGCACGGGGTAAGGTAGGGGGAAGGCTGAACTTTGATGGAGAGAAATGCATTCCCCACTTTTAAATGAAGCTCACTGTGGTATCTGAAAAGAAGGTTTTGGATCCTCAGTCACCCACCAGGAAATGCCTGATTCGATATCTTTTCATGACTCCAGTTCTTTCCTTTGCCACCTTTCATTTGAAGGACGTGTTTCCCTGTTACCTGCTCCCTCCTGTCAGATACAGCTACGTACTGACCTCAGACTGGTCTGTTCTGAAAGCATTGCCCTGTTGGTGCAGGCCGTAGGCTCGGGCTCCCTCTCGGCATGTTGGGAGTTTGCCTCCTCCCCACCCTGCAGTAGCTGTGGATGCATCTATGCACTAGCTATATTTCTCTCTGAAGCATTAATTCAATGCAGCTGGCATCTGTCACAATAGAAACACCCACTCTCATCTGTTTCTATAGACGATGTCAGAACAAGTGGTAATGCATGGTGTGTTGGACATTTTATAAATTACTGTGTTAGCATTGGTGGTATGCGAGGAAGGGGGTAGGGGGCTGGTCACCCCTCAGAGTTCCAAATGGGGTGATTATAAAAAAAAGAAAGCCAGCCAGAGAAGGGCAAGAGAGGAAGAGGTGGAACTTTTCCCATGCGCAAGCCTTCCATGGATGTTCCAGGTAAAAGTCTCTTGGATGTCATCATACAAAAAGGAGTCAGTCCCATTTCCCTGGATCTGTAGAGGAGTGGGCAATATGGTACAATGGGAAAAGAGCTCGGGTTTTGAGCCCTGAAGTATCACAGAGATCCCCTGTCCACTCACCTTGCCTGCCCCAACTCCCCTCATCCTGGGGCTGCCTCTGTAATGGGCTGGTCTATGAAAATTGGAATGTTAGTCACTGGACAGGACTTTGGGATTCAAGGTATCCAAGTGTGCCTGTCTCTATCTGAAGTCTCCTCTATTTTTTCCAGCTCTTCAAGAGAGAAAGCAGGTCCTCGCTCACCACTTTGTTAGCACTGTCCTTTTGAAACCAAAGTCGTGTGCCATTTCCAGGAGGCCTCCACTCTGGAGGAGAACTAGGGAATGCATGAAGCCCTGGATCTTAATAACTGCATGTTGTCATGTAGTTATTATCCATGGAGACTTACTTCTCCCCCTGGTTCATAGCCTTCGTCTGAATCATCACATATGCTAATGTGGTTATTAAAAGAAGGCTGATTTTTACCATACGCTATCCTCCTACTTACAAGGAGACAACAACCTCTTCAGACATCTCGCTGGTCTGGAGCAATTGGCTGAGCAAAGTGAACTGAGTCCTGTATGGTAAAACTCAAATTCTGCCAATGGAGACTGCCCCCTCCACTGCCACGTTGCGTTGTTTCGTATGTGGAAGCCACTGTTTGCCTTAAGCCTTCCAGCCCCCAGCTGTCTCTGTGTTACTTTTTGTCAAGCCCAAGGCCATTGGATGACTCTTGATTTCTACTTTCTTATCCTGCCAGTAATGGATCAGGTACATCAGAAGATTTGTTCTGGAAACTAGACGCCCTTCAGACTTTCATCCGTGACTTACACTGGCCTGAAGAAGAGTTTGGAAAACACTTAGAACAGCGGCTAAAACTAATGGCAAGTGACATGATTGAGTCCTGCGTCAAACGGTAAGAACTAGTGACTGGAGAGACCCAGGCCTCCTTTTCCACTGTCCACTGACTGGAAAGAGCAGGGAGCCCCTGCCAAATAGACCATGTTATGGAACATTTTGGAGGTGACTAATTGTCCAAGTCAGCTCCAGTACAAACAGGCATGTTGGTGCATGCTTGTAACCCAAGCCTTAGAGGTTGAGTCAGGGATTGTTGTAAGTTCAAGACAAGTCTGAGCTACATAGTGAGACCGTGTCTCAAAATGTCAACAATAACAATTTTAAAAAGTCAGCTGGAATGGTCAGCTGTCTACCTTGAGCTTCTACTAACCAGTTCTGTATCCATCCCAGACACAAAATTATTTGGCTACCAATTTGTCCTATTACTGGTTCCATGAGGAAAATACTCACATCCATTCTTGCTCCCCAACATCTAGCACTGTTTGCTGCAAAATAGCTACATGATAAATACTTATAAATACAGGGGTATGGAGAATGAACAGTTAGGAAGAGGGAAAAATGTACAGTTTTAGAGCATTGTGTATGGAATCTGGGTCATTGAGTTCCCAACAAAAATGAAACCTTAGAATCCTCAGTCATTCTGTCCATGTGACCTGAGTACCTAGTGTGTGCCAGTTGTTAGTTTTCTTGCCCGCATTCTAACCAGTAATCAGCATGAAGGCATGACATGTGGTTTGGCTTCCCGAGAATTTCCTCTTTTTGACACTGTAACTTACAGTATTGGGGTAGAAAGCATATCACTGTGCTTGGAGTTCTCCAGCTGATTGTTCTGAGGTGGTGATGGGAAGAGAATAAGGATGGTCTTTATCCATTCAGCAAAATGGTCTGATCTGCTCTCATAGACTAGGCCCAGGGCTGAGTCCTTGAAAGACAATGGAAAAGTAAAGACCCTGTCCTCCCCTGATGGAGTATCTATATCCACATATCAGACCAGTGGAATTCACTTCTGTGTTTGATATCATTACCACCTTCCCAGCCCCAAACATACATCCAAGTTCTTTTCTAGTTTATTAGTGTCCTATTAGTTTTCCTTATTCAAAAAAGAAAAGAAGGGGAAAGAAAAATGAAACAAAGGAAGAGAGGAAAAAAAGAAGGAGGGAGAAGGAAGGAAGGAACAGATCTCTGTGAGTTCGAGGCCAACCTGGTCTACAGAGCGGGTGCCAGGATAGGCTTCAAAGCTACACAGAGAAAAACCCAGGAAGGAAGGAAGGAAGGAAGGAAGGAAGGAAGGAAGGAAGGAAGGAAGGAAGGAAGGAAGCCACAAGCAATCTTGGCACTCCAGGCCTCCAGATGTTATATCCTTTAGTTGATGAATGAGTTGTAAGTGACACTCCTGGGCTTGCCTGGAAGTGTTCTGAATGCAGCGTCTGATACCCTGGAAGAAGAAAGGGAAGTAATGCATCAAACCTGAAACCTCAAAAGGTAGAAGAGCAGTACTGCTACAGGTAGGTAAATAGCAACTCAGAGTGAACTAAGGAAAGAGCCTGAGCTTTGGGGACACTGGGCATGTGTTTGTATTTCTGAAAATTTAAAGACTGAGTAGATTTTGCTCTTTTCTGCCCAGTTTAGAACCAAAAACAGGTTTGGTTTTCAACTAAATGGTCAGAAAGTTTCCAGTTTTGAATTCTATAATCTCTTAGATAGTCTATATTAATTCTAGGGAAAGCAATGGTTTGTGACTGACCAAAGTATTTGACCAAAATCTCTTTACTGGGCAACGCTTTAAAGCCATCTATCAGCCTTTTCCTCTATCTCACAAGGAGCTAAAGTGAATTAAAATCAAGACCTGCCCTCTTTTGGTCTGTGTTCCTGCCTATATGTCTATGTCCTCCACTTAGAAGCCAGTCTGCATGGTAGGGGTAAAAGGAGAGACACTTAGAAGACATAAAGAATACATGAGGCCGGTAAATGTAGTTTCTCCCTCACCATACTATAATCATTATTATATGCAGTCATAGAAAGGTTATTCACTCAGAGGCGGGGAATGGACCTGAATCCCTGGAAACTCCTCACCCTCCAAAGCCACAGAGGTACCCAGAACTCAGTAGCTAAGAAAAAATTTATTATCAGGGCTTGAATCACTCACTGTACTGGGCAGCCCTGACCTAGAATTCCTTGGTGTTCCTTTCAGTCAAGGCTCAAGCACAAACACGGGTGGAAATACCCTGACTCTAGCTACAGAGTAGAGGGCATAGAGAGGTCCTTAGACATTTTAAGACATGGAATATATGTTAAAAGAACTGAGAACTGTGGATTACTTCTTTGGGCAGAATAAATAGCCTTTGTCCTAGACCCATACAGCAGGGACTATGGCTTTAGGTATGCAGTGCTTAGAATACAGTACTCCTCAAGATTAAGTGTCCAAGACATTTTGTACACTTACCTGACAGTGACAGCACCTCTGTCTGTACTAGGTACAAAACAATGCACTCTGGAGTCAATTGGGTTAAATGACCTCTCCATTCCTGGGTTTGGGGACCCCTAGAGCCCTCTAAGTCATATTCATTTTCTGCCTCTGCCTTCCTCTTTTCACAGCCCTGCACTCCACAGGCTAGGAACAGTTCTCCTGTGAAAAGAAATGTGAAAGGGAAGACACTTGCTTCATTGGAAAGGAACGATTTAGCATTTCCATTTCTCAGATTGGGCCGGAACTAGCACATAAGCCTCAGAAGATCAGCCCAGGGCCCGGTCCAACTCAGTACCCATCGGGCCTCTTTTCACAGAGCTAGAAAACGATGTATTTTCAGCGGAGCTTAAAATGATCATCATGATTAGAAAGCTTCTTTGGTGCACTGAGTCTTTAGAAGCCAAGTTGCATTTATCTTGAACATGATCATATAATCTATAGGGGTGTTTTGAGGGTGTTTTTTTTTTCCCTTAGGAACTGGGCTTCCAACCTTAGAAATTATACTTGGCTTCCCTGCATGCACCCAGGGTGTGTTAGCAAGCTGGCATCCTTTCCCCAGCTAACTAGCTGTGTGGTCCTCCTATGCACCAATAGAAAAGTGCTACCAATTCCTCTTAAAGCAATGCCATTCTGGTGGCTGCATGAGCTCTAGAAGGTGACAATAGACAATGTAGAGAAGCAATAGACACATTAGATGAAAGGGGCTCTAATGAAACCACTTACTGACCAGGTGCTTTCTCAAAGGATATGTGAGGATGTGACCCACTTCTCTGATACCTTTTTCAATAGAGTTGGTCCCTGCTTTGCAATAGCAGTGCCAAGGACTGGATGTTACACCAGTGCTGCAAACTACCTATATTGGGCTAGCTTTTCCTATGAGGGCTTAGTAGGTTTCTGGTATCATAAGTTGACCCATGTCAACATTATGTTACAAAACAAAACAAAAAAATGTTACAGTAGATGTATGCAGTTCTTGAGCTATAAATAATATATATGAAGTTTTTATAATATATTTTCATGCTAAGGACACTATTACATTTTAATTATAAAAAAAAAGAATATCTACTTACTGAAAAAGTAACACCGGTAATGAAAACAAAGCAAAACAAAAAGCCACCCTGTGAGTTCCCCAAACATAATAACTTCTATTTTCATCCCCCTTCGAAAAGTAGCCATTTTCAATGGTTTGATATATTTTCTTCTAATGATTCTTTAGCAAGCACAACCAATTTTTTAGGTTTCAAACAATATTAAATTAGTTGGATTTCAAAAGAGATTTTTAGACTCTTAAAAAACAAAAAAAAAATTAAAAACAATAAGGGCCGTTCAAGATTTTTCTCCATGCTGAGGTTTTGAAGATGAGAAATTGCCTTCTTGTGTTTTGTTTTTAAGTGAAGTGATTCGAGGTAGGCACTTGCCAATGTGAGAGAAGCTGCATATGTTGTAATGCTATAATCGGTTTTTTTTTTAATTCATTTATTCTCCTGCAATTAGGGTTCTCCACACCATGTAATTTATAGATAGAAACACACCGAGCTACAGGTGTTCCATGCACTGCTGAGATAGGATGGGTGTGCATGGCCGTCCACATAAACAAGCCCTCGTTAGACAGGAAGTCATTCGAAAAAGAATGTGTGAAGTCATTGTGGATTGAAACTGATTAAAGCCTTCAATTTTCCTTTTCACTAACCTCTCAGAACATGTCTCCTCTACCTCCCGCCATCCGAATGCTGAATTGGTTTTCCCTACTTTGTTTTAATAGAACCAGGATTGCATTTGAAGTTAAGCTGCAAAAAACCAGTCGATCAACAGATTTTCGAGTCCCACAGTCAATATGCACCATGTTTAATGTTATGGTTGATGCCAAAGCTCAATCAACAAAACTTTGCAGCATGGAAATGGGCCAAGAGGTAAAAAAAAAAAAAAGAACTTTTTCCCCTCTTCTGTCTGCTTTGGTCATGTAGAAGAAAATTTCCCAAATCCCTTCCTTCTACCCAGTCTGCTAGTTTCAGCAATACACTCAGCATCTACAGGTGAAACTGTGGATAAGCATTCAGAATCCATCACACCAATCCCAAGGCATGTGCTGATAGGCATGCTGGTCACTTGGAAGTGTTCTTGTCTGGAGTTCAGGTGGTCCTAAGGTACCTATGAGCTAAAGGATGTTGGGTGACTTTATTCATTAGGCCATTATTGGCAGCAGATGTGGGAGTGTCCGAGTGCTCATCACTTCCCATGTGTAGTGTCTTAGCCCTTGCACATCCGGACAGCAGGAGAGCTCCACCTCATATCAAGCCATTTGCAAGCTATGCCAATAGGTTCTGCAGGTCCAAATCAACTTGCGAGCTTTCGATTTTCCTGAGAATGAATTGTGAATCTTCCCTGACCAGAAGTTTATTCCTTTGCAGAGTTTCTGATTCTAAAGTCAGATTTAAAATGTGAAGGAGAAGGAAGCAGCAACTTGGACTTGATTAAGACGATCATGATCATTTTTCTCCGATGGCCTTAAGCCAGCTAGATATTCATATACCAATTTAGAATTAATTCAGTAACATTTCTGGCAACTCTATGCTGTTGCCAATTGGCATAAATTGCTCCTAAATCAGATCTTTCAATACCAGCCTTACATGCTCAGAATTCTTACTAAATTATATTTGCTCCTTATTCGTTATTTATTTTCTCCTTCGGCACCTTCCATTTTATATGTGGGTTGGTGGTGTTCTCTTCTGGCAAGATGTCCTCCAGCCTTGTTTCTCCCACAAGTGAGCTTCCTCAGCCACCCCTGCTAGCTTCTGCTCTAGCTGATTTCTTTCAAGCCTCCCTGTGGAGTTAAGTTCTAGGCATGGAGTCAATACAGGGCTCTCAATTCTCATCTGGAAGCCACTTTGCTACATGAGTCAGAACAGTGGTTCCACAAATCCACTGTCCATCAATGTTCCAGAGGCTCACCCCATAGTAGTTCAACTCATCTGGGCTGTGGTAAAAGAATTAAGACTTCTGGTGGACAATTCTTGAGGAACCACATTCAAGATATTTTCTGGCATCTCCCACACATGCATATTGCCATACACACACTGGTATACAGATACAAATATGAACACATATGTACCACACATATACACAAATGCACCTGCACACACATTTTTTTATGCACATGTGTACCCATGCAGGAAAAAAAAAAAACATGCGCATAGGAATTTAAACTTCTGTTGCAATCTTTGACGATTGCTATCCTAGAGGCATTGGTGGCTATCCTAGAGGCCACATTTTAGGAAGCAGTGATAGAAGGCTCTCAGCTATCTAAAAATGAGCCAGGGAGAAGGATTGGAACAATTGGAAGGGAGGCTTGGGTTGCCAGTCACGTGGATAAGTGTTTTGAGTTGTGCTGCAAAATGAACTTGGATAATGCTGGAAGCCTCTTTGAGCCTCAGTTTCCCCATCTGTAAAATGATATCACTGCTCTACTTTTATCTATCCTATTTTGGCTGCAGAATCAGTTCTTCATTCTTTATCCAGAAGCCTAGAACAGAAAACATAAAAATAGAGTTGATCTGGATGGAGGGAGGCCCAGAGCCCCAGATGGTGATTTCCTCTCCACCTTAGCACCTCTTCACACCACTTGCCCACACATCTCTGGAGGATTCTAAAACCTATGGGTTTCACAGAGCCCTCTTTGCAAATCTCACTGAGGGGGGTCTCAAAATCATCAAGTCTCTCCAAGTCACTAAAGATCCTTGAGTTTGTACTTTCTGGAACAGTGTCTGTCCGGAACCTCTCTCCCCTTAAAGCCTTCTCTACTTCTGCTCCTGCCATTCCTGCTTCATTGTAAACCATCAACATGCAAATCACATGCATACGGGAATCTCCCTTCAAAAGTATACACTTCTGCATTGTGCTGTGTTCACAAAGCCTTACAGACATTACAGTTAGTTACAGGACATGAAATAGAAACCGAAATAAAAACCAACCATGCAGGAATAGCCAGTGTTCTAACTGTATTCCCAGTTCTAGGTTATCATCAACCTATATCCTGCAGATATGCCTGTTTCTGTTCTTAGGTTTCATATAAATAGAACCAAGCAATAGGTGGGCTGTGTGTATCTGGCTTCTTTCACTTAGTGAGACATTTTCAAGATGCATGCATGTTGTAGCATGTAGTAGAAAAGACCTGCGTGTTTTTCTATACATCTCAACGCTTTTTAAATAAAATTGCTGGTTTGTACATATGTTTCCCAGAAATAATACACACACACCCAAATTAATACCTGTATTAAGGACCCATCTAACACTGCATTCTAATCTTTTGTTCTTCTGAGAATATTTGTTGCCATCAAGATTTTCTTCTAAGAATAATGAGCCAGTAGTAACTAAGTGACCAGCTTGTGGTCACTCCTAATGTAGCTAAAAATGGTCAGGATAAAACAGGATATGATTGAATTGCTTCTCAGCAGGCTGGCATGGTGGCCATGGCCTGGAGCAGAACTTCAGTGGGAAGTCACATAAAGTAGTCCATATTCCACAGAGTGGTGAGATTCATCTCCAAAGTAAAACTGGCTTTTTAAGGGGGCTTGAGTAAGAATGACTGGAAAGATCTAGAATTGAGATAAGAATACTTGCAAATGATCAACTCCCATTTTCATGTGGTGTGGACTTTGGAGTATCAACCATTAAGCCTATATTTCAGACATAGTTTCTAATTTTGATCACCACCTGGGCCCCACCTTCCTCAGCCTGTTTTGGACTAAGCACTGGTGAGGGATGCAGTCTTCAGTTTGATCACTTCCTGAATCTCATCACTGGGATAAAGTCTCGTCTAAAGGCAGCTGTTGAGACATTTGTTCACCATACTTTTCCATCTTAAATATTTATTTTTTCATTAAAATTTGTGAAGTACCAATAGAGAGGAAATTGCGTATTAAATAGTTTCTCACTTGGCCTAGTGTGTTTTCATCTCATTTCCAAGGTCAGATGGTCTTAACAGAAAGATAACATACACACAATCTGTTCCATGACAAGGCAAAATGTGCAGCACAGGAAGTCAAGTGGGATGCTTTTCACGTAGTAACCCTGGATTTACAGTAACTTAGCCCATCAGATGCAAAAGCAAACTTCCCACTCTTCTCATGCCACCAAAAACCAATGGTTCTCTTAGTTACTACCACCATGATTTCAGGGCATAGGTCAAGTGAGCCCAGGAAAACCACAGAGAGAACTGGAAGGTTCAAAACCTGCTGGACTACAGGTACAATGAGATAAGGGGACAATTTACAAGGGCTCATGACAAGAGCTAACAAGGAAGGTGGTAACTAGAAGGTTCCTATGTGCATGCATGAACTCCTTCATGAGGCTTCTGATTTGCACAGAGCAATAAATCACCCCAGAAAGAGCAAGGTGGCATTATTGTTCCAGAAAAGCAAGTTAGTCAAATAAATCACCTATGGCAGGAAAATCTGGCAAGAGGTGTGTGGATTTTGTCATTACCTGAATTATAATGGGGAATTCTTTGAGATTTAGCACTTAGTGACACAATTAACAGAGTATTAGGGCGTAATTGCCATACAGTGTGTAGAGCTGAGGTTGGTCTAAAGAAGTGTGCACAGCCATGTAGCCACATGCTGATGTATTTTAATGAGATTCCTGAGAAAGCAGTGATTTGGCCATATAGCAATTCACTCTTCCTTCCTTCCATTCTTTCTTTCTTCCTTTCTTTTTTTAAGTCAGAGTCTCACTCTGTAGCCCAGGCTGGCCTCAACTTATAACAATCCTCTTGCCTTTGCCTTCTCCCACCAAATCCTAGGATTATAGGCATGAGCCAACGGGCCATCTCTGCATAATTTATAAACTGTATATTCATGTATTATGTCAGTACTTGGGTAGGTCTATGTCAATTTTACATTCAGAATTTAATTCTAGTTTCACTGAAGTGGTGAGAAAGCAAAGTGGCAGAGATCCCATGCTAAAGTTAACCCTGGAACAAGGAGGCAAAATACCCATATTAAAAACACTTTAAGTATCAGTCCATGTAGTGGTTGCTGTGCAAGCCTGGGGACCTGAGTTCAATCCCCATCACCCACATAAAGAGCCAGACATGCGGTGTGTGTCCAGACCAATGAAAAACTTGTAGACCACTCCTGAGAAATGACATGCAGGTAGTTCTCTGGCCTCTGCAAGCAAATGTGTAAGTACACACACACACACACACACACACACACACACACACACACACACACACACACCATTCTTTACTTTATCAGCAAGAAGATATAACAGGAAGATCATAATACTTACATATAGCAAAAGGGAGAGATAGTGGGACTACATAGAAATTAGTGTGGAAGGCATATCATGCCTCAATAAGCCATGGTGTCTCCACCTTGTTTCCACATAGAGGGCATGTTCCTCATTAACCCCTTAGACACAAGACACAGACCTTAACCTGTCTTAGTATACAGAGAATAATTGCCATGTGTTTTTTTACCACTTCAATCAAGGTTTAAGACAACATATCTATTCTCATTGGTGTTCTTTCCTTGGTTAGAAGCCCTTTGGGCATTATTTCATCTTGTACTAACTTTCATTCTTCTGGCTAAGCAGAATGTCCTAATTAATTTAATAAATGTGACTCATTTACAGCAATCCAAAGAAAATCTAGTGGAACAAGTCTGTCACATGACAACAGAAAGAGAGGATATGATTCTGGGTCTTATTTCAATACCTAAAAATGAATTTGGAATTCTGTCAATATTCCCATATTCTTTTGCTTTAGCATCCTTTTTGTGACTCTAGTACAGAGTTCTGTGGATTCTTTTTCTTGTTTTTTTAAGCTTCGGCTTTATGCTATTTACAAGTAAATCTTTCTTGAATCTAGCAGTACAGCCAACAAGGGTTCTGACTCATCAGGACAGAACACCGTGGGCCATTTGCTTTTTTCTCCTCCAATCAACTGAAAGGAAGAGGAGGATGCTTCAATGATAGCATCATTGCTTCTGTACCCTCTGCGGCTACTTGAGGAACTTGAACACATGATAATATTGAATTGCAACTACAGTTAGCAAAACGTTTTCACATCTAGATCCTCACTAGATCTTCAAAATAGCTCTATGAATCTGGGAGCCTTGGTCTTAGATAAGGGCTTGGGCACTGAATTCTTAAGTAATATAACTAAAACAGACCAGCCAAGTAGCTTTTTTGTTAAGTTTTGCATTGTTCTTTATTGTCATATAGTTATACCCATTATGAATACATCTGAAGTCCTGATATTTGGACATCTATAGAAACACATAAAATAATTAAGTTGAGCTACTTAATATGTCCACTTCTTTCAACAGGGGTAGGGGTAGGGAGAGTACCATCATGTCTCTTTAGGCGTTTTTGAAACATGGAGGTAGAACAAATTTGCTGAGGCTTGCCTAGCCCCTTGTGGAAATCAGCAGTCTATACTAGCTTTCCTGCTCCTGGGCCCAGGTCATAGTGTTCTCACCTGTTGAAGGTTTGCAGATAAGGAAGCTGAGCTCAATCTGGAGGCAGTATAGCTCCTGCCCTCACACTGGGACATCATCCAGGTCTTCCAAGTCCAAGCCAGTCTCTCATCTCCTTGCTCCTGCTCAACATCCTGCTTTCCAGCAGCCAGAGTATTGCAGCACATCCTATGTCTTATTTCTATGTTTTCATAGCTTTGTGATGCTTTATTTAATTTGCATCTTCTCATGTGTCCTTTTGTCCTGATTTTTATTTGCACTGTTCCTTTTTCTTTTTTGTTCCTAATTAATCATCCTTCTGAAAGTTTGCTAGAGAGTGGGTAAGTGCATTTTCCTTTCCAAATAACAATGTTTTGTATTATTGTTTTTGTGATACGGAAATACAAAATAATTCAAATGGATACTAAAATGTTCTAATAAATGTCAAGGAGCTGGCATATAATAATTTGTGTTGAAATTGCTTTTCCTTTTCCCCTGGCATTTACAGCAGATTTTTGTTTGTGTGGGGGTTTGTTTTCACATTACTATTTAAATTTAATCGACAGCACCAGTTTGAAAAAATTGGAAAAACTTAGCTACAGTCTCAGCAGAAGGTCTAGCCTGGGTCTGCTTATTGCTGAACAGAAAGAAAAGGGGAAAAAATTGTTGCTTGTCACAATGGCTCAGAAAAGGACACTTTACCTGGACTCTGAGTCAAGACTATAGTTTAAACTGATGCATATACCCAAAGTACCTAGCAGGTTTTTTTAAATCATTGTCTTAGTCAAATTCCCTTTGGAGGGATCCCCCCAATTGCTGGAGTTGCATCCCCAGCAATTCCCAAGAAATACCATTTCCTTTCCCAATAAGTTAGATTACTGTTGAATCAAGGTTTGTAAAGGCCAGGTCAACAAACATACTGCCACAAAAAAAAAAAAAAAAAAAAAAAAAACACCAGCCATATGTGCATGTGTCCACACACATCAAAGCCATCTGAAACCTTAGATGGGGAACAAAGGTCCTGCTGAATTTTTTAAGTGCTTTGTGTCTCTCTCCATCAAAGCCCAGAAGTCAGAATTTTACAGCCGCTTCTAGGACTGGATCTACAAGCCAAGCTTTATTTATAGATTGTATGTTCTAAAAACCATGGACACATGCAACACTGTCAGCCTCCCGACATGCTAATATGTGTCTTTCTGTCTTCTTTAGCATCAATACCATTCAAAAATAGATGAACTAATTGAAGAAACCGTTAAAGAAATGATCACACTCTTGGTGGCAAAGGTAACCTTCAGCTTCAGGTGAAAGGGGGCATTGTGAATGTTGCTTTGTTGTGTCTACATTTCCATTAAAATGTAACACGTTAAAAAGTTGAGCTGTATACTCACATCTCTCAGGAAACAAGATTGTACATCACCCAGCCCCAGCTTTCGAGCATTTTCTGATGTTCATGAGCTGTGTGAAGATCAATTGATGAAGCGGCATATGTTAACTTAATAAGAATGTGTCCCCAAACGTCGTACTAGGTTATGCAGGAAATGTTTGTTTTGTTTCTCAGCACTGACAAAGTTAGATTTTAAAATACATAAAGTGAAACGGTAATAAGGAATTCTGCCATCCCGAAAACCCCTTTCCCTCTAGTTTCACATGCAGTGAGAGTCATAATAAAACAGAAAAGTCAGATAAAGCTATTTCAGTCACCCTCATGAATTATAGAATTTTAACTAAGTAATGCTGAATGGGAAGACATTTATATTTGCCAGTGCTAAACTTCTGTTTCCCCCAAATTACTGATAAAATACAAATAAAAATAGATTGGATTAAATGTAGTGCTAATATGTAATGTAAAGACTGCTTTGCGCAGTTTGGGATCTTGAAAAGTGCATTTAATATTATCGCATGCTATATGCAACTCAATAATATTTTGTCACTTTGCACTTCTGTAACACTCCGTATTTGCAATCACATAATAATGAAGAGAAAGCCGGATAAGTCAAATATTGCCATGCAACGGCAGTCTTTGCCTTTCTCCAAAGTGAGAGTTAAAAAAACGGAATGCAGAAACGAGGAGGGGGCTGAGTCCTAGCCTCTGGGTGGCTGGGACTTGTTCTTTCTTGTAAACAATTATAATTTGAAATAATAATTTTTCCTTTTTGCTGCTTTGCTAGTTTGTAACTATTTTGGAAGGCGTCCTGGCAAAGTTATCCAGATATGACGAGGGGACTTTGTTTTCTTCTTTTCTGTCATTTACGGTAAGTAAAGAGCATCTTGATTTCCTGGTTGTTGTTTTGGTTCAGTTGTGGTTCTGCTTGGGTGAAAAGTAATGTGCGGTTTTGTTTGGGATAGGTAGTGTGTGTTAGTTACATTCAGCCATGAATGTAACACGTTAATGTTGGAGAAGAGGCAGGGCATTCCGTAACAGCAGGTAAGCTGTCAGTTTTGTGTCATTTGTGAATTCATGGTATGCATACACCTACAGAGTAGCCTACCTTCCCCCCACTTGGCTATGACAGGAATACAATGAAGGCCTCCATTTTTACCAATAAATGTTTTAAGGATTGTTTATTGTGGAACTACAATGGAACTACAAATGCCTTTTTATGGCTCTTACTCTCCTAGTTACATTCTTCTTAACTGAGTTGATTGCACACATTTCAAATCCAGGAGACGTAAAGAAAGGAGGTAGCATTTCCAAGTGACTGTGCCCAGTACATAGCCCCAGTCTGTGGGAGTTGAAATATGGGGTCTCTACAGCCTACAGGTGCTTGCAGCCTGTGTGATTCCTCTGAACAAGAAGTTTTCCTATTCTGCCTGCCTGGGCTCAGGAGCTGTTTGTGTTTCCATGCTCCAGAGCTGCTGACATGTCCTTTCCAAATTCTTTGAGGCTGCAGTTCTATGCTAAAATTAGGTAAGGAGGAGGCCAAAGGTGAGGCAGGAGTCAGCAGATTTCTGTGGATAGTAACTAGAGGAGAGAGTCATTGGTTCTGCCGTGTGAGGACAGCAATGGTGCATGGTCCTAAGCTAGAGCAGCAGTCAAGTTAGGGGCCTTTGCCTGGAATAATCTCCTGAGTGAGCATCAAATGCCAGGTGAGGCCCAAAACATCAGTGTGGGTACAACTCTTCATCTTTGGAGTCCCACAGAACTGAGTTCAAATTCCATCAGCAATACTGACCAGCTATGTGAGCTTGAATAGGTTTCCCCACCTGGAAGAATATGGGAGGTGGGTAATATTTCCTGTAAGGCCATAGTATGAGATGAAAGCATCATGGTCTTAGCTTATTAAGTAGGACTTAACAAATGGCGTCTATTACTATTAACAAGTAATGAATATGATTATGATAAGTTACAATCACACATGCATACAATTCTTTTCCAGACACGTCCTAAAAATGAATAAACAAACAAATATATCCTATTTGGACCTTTCCTCTATCTGTGTTTTCATCTTCTTAGGAACTAAAGCAAATGTTGCCTGATGGCATTTCAAACAGTTACTAGATAACATCTATCTATCAATATGTCCAGCTTATTTTGACGTGTAACTATGACCTTTTCAAACATAAAGATGAATTAATCCAGGAGGATGATTGTATTCATAGCCAGAGTTCATTTTCAAGGCTGGATTGGGAAGAGAACAAGGCAAAGAAACATTGCATGCAATTTCACTATGCAAAACTATCTATAATGTGTCATATCTGCAAAGGAACCTACGTAGCCCACTCCTTTGACAAAGAAAGAAATCAAGACCCAGAAAGGGGGAGTCTGAGGTCATGTAGCAATATGCAGAATGAGGACCAGAAACCATCTCCCCTGCCAGTTTCCCACCACTGAGTGGCTTCTGGCAAGAGTGGGATTCCGCTGGCAAATGCCTGACACTGGAAGGCAGATGGGCTCATGAGTGGGAAAGACTCACAAAGAGGACTCAGGGCACATGAGTTGGAAATAGACAAGGTCTCACTCCTCATTGCAACTGTGGGTATGATGAGGAAGGGGGTGGAATGAAGTGCAGTATTTCTGCAAATGTCTCCTAATGCCTGTAGAAGATGCTTGCTTTAATACTTCATTTTGAGCCAGTGTTTTCACTGCAGTGTACTTGAACCCATGGCCCAGGAAGGTCCCTTTGCAATTTATTGCTTCCACATTTGCTCTAGCCAAGACGGTTCTCTAAATGAACTTCCCAGAGATTTGTTAGCAGCTGGCTCAGTAGCAGCCAGATGAAGACTTCAGGATCCCGGGAATCCCTGGGGGAGTGAGAAACCCAGACCAAAGTGTCCCATGATGACTTTGCAGCTCCACTCCCATCCTCTCATTTTTCCTAAGACAGTCTGCAGCCTAGAGATATGCCCAGCAAAGACACTGCCGTACAGAACATTCCAGACCTGTGCTAGGCCTGGAACGTCCCTCCTTAGTGACACTCCTCCCACATACTTGGCCATCCCATGGCCACAAGCACCCACTTCTCATTTGCAGCCTATGTTCTCGTTGCCTGCCAGGATTCCGGTATTAGAGAGGGGGAGCTGAACTTAGAGGTGGCAAGAATATCTCCACACATGGATTCTGAGTTCCTGCCCAAATTGCAGAGGGCCTTTGAAGGATGCTGGCAACCCAGTGGTGTTCACTTCTCAGGAAAGGGGTAGAGGTGGAAGGGTGGGGGCACTGTGGGGCGGGGGC